ATTGATACTCTGGTATAGGGTAGATGAAGTAGTCAGACGAAAAGAAACGCGTAGGAGTGTTAAAAAAGCTTTACGACTACAACTCGCAGTGCTGCTTAGTAGTTTAGCCTTTCGGGTTAGAAAGAAAATCGTTAAGAATCGTCCGGAATAGGGTATCTTTTTTCAACATTTAGGGCCTGTTTACATGGAGGGAGGGTGACCCGGGAACCCGGGTCACCCTCCCTCCATGTAAACAGGCCCTTAGTCTGGAACAGGTTCGCAAAATTAGGGTTGTTATAGCCCAGCGGCACACCCCACCCAAATTTTTTGGGAGAACCCCCCCGGGCCAATTTCACCTTGAGGGGAGAAAGAACAATGCACCCCTCCACCCCCTCGGTCAGTTTACTCTGAGGTTCTCCCGCCAAATCTAAGAGTCAACTTCGAACCTGCGTGACGAAAAACGTGACTGGGTGATGCAATATTTTGGCTAGCGTAAGTTTGAGCTTAGGTTAAGTTTACTGTGTAGAAAACTTTAGCTAATGTCAATTGCATCATAATCAACAAGGGCACAGATGTGTTTTCGCTCAACGTGAAAATAAATTGTGAATGACATATATGCTGTGGAATTGTGTAAGAAAAACTGTTATGTTTTTGGGACCGAGTTTTATCGTTCGTTTAATGAGGTAGGGCTAGCGACATGAAAAAAAACCCGTCCATTTCTTGAAGCGGCTCGATGCCCATATAGGGCATCGGCCGCTTAATAAATTGAACAAAAAATGATTGATTAGTTAAAATACAACTCAAATACGTGGCAGTTGATAAAACAGTTGTTTTTATCAATGATTATTTTGATAGCTCACTTCCGATTCAAACAACAAAAGGGAACTTTGTGACAAGCTCAAGAAAGATCACAGACAGATAATCCATTTTCAAGATGACTTGGTCCACTACTACTGATTAAAGAGTAATCTTGATTTCTATGATTCAACAAAGTTTATGTCGTGTGTGGTGCTTTTTTGAATTCGTTTCCATCCATATGTAAAGACTGAGATCAGGAAGCTACCGTATGTAAACATTTTCAATATTTTCCACAGGCAGTAGAGGATCAAAATTGGACTTTTTCGAGTTTCGATTTATATGCTTTATACGATGACCTTTGTGAGTCGATCTATTCGGCTTTATACGCGGTGTATTGCGTTACTACATTATTCGATCATTAAGTACCCGCTGGGACGACAAAGAGAAAACAATAACAAGATCGAATAACGCAGTAACGCAATTCGACTCCTCTGCTCCCTGTGTCATTTCAAGTCATCAAGTTTCATTTCTGCTGAAGTAAGAAAGACGACTTTTTGTTTGTTATCCAACTACATTCTGAAACTCTGCATCAGCACATACATGATCAGCTTCACAGATTAGTATTAAAAAGAATCACTGTTCATATGCACATATTTTTGATTTCTCCACCGCAAGTATTTGAATTATTCATCTCTTGTAGGAAAAGACGATTAATAAGCTTATTCCTGACTTCATAGGTTAACTTTAAGATGCTCAGCTTCACAGATTAGTATTAAAAATAATCACTTTTCTTATGCACACATTTTTGATTTCTAGACAGAAAGTATTTGAATTATTCATCTCTTGTAGGAAGAGTGTGAATGTTAAAACCTTTCACGACAAACGATTAATAAGCTTATTCCAGACTTCATAGGTTAAATTAAGATTACTGTGTAGAAACTGAAATATATATCTAAATGCCATCAACTAATGACAAATAGTCATTTGAAAACATACCTTAATTTATCTTAATACCACTAATCCAAGGACACTAATCACGTTTACAAAAACATATACCACGGGGTATCGTAACTTTGATCAGGAAGAGAAATCCAAATGCGGATTGCTTCATGCTCATAGCACAATACCTCTATTGCATCATCTTTACATGACCAGAGATTGCGTCATGTCAACCGTGGGATCGAATAACGAGAAAAGGTCACACAACAAAATTTAGCACATTTAGCAACAACACCGCTGTTCGCTGCTGTGGGACATTTGTCTTTGCTTTTTCCAGTGCGATTACTGTAATAAACTAAATACATCTAAGCACTTACACGACACTACAGAAAGAATGTGGAAGAGAAATTCTCTACTGGCTAATTTCAGACCGAGATGCGATAAGATCATGTCAACCGTGAAGAGGACTAAGGCTAGCGACACGAAAAAAAAAGTGCATTTCTTGAAGCGGCCGCTGCGCATGGGCCGCTTAATTAATATTTCACATTAAATGAACCGTAACAATGCTAAACATATTTTTAGCAGTTCGGTCCAAAGGAGCGTTTTGTTATTCAAATTTTCCAAGCATTAAACAAAATAACTCTTTGTTTAAACAGCCAATAGTTCTCTGGTTGGCACATTAATAACAGGAAATATCGCTATTTACAGCTGTCATGTTTCCAGCAAGTTTCGAATCCAATTCTTTACCCTTAATGATACAAAACTTTTGATTAAAGAGTTCATTTTGCTATAGGAATGGGAACATTAATTTTTAATTGTCGTAGCCGTGAAAGAAACGCAGCAAGACATTCTTGCCTCTGCGATGTCATTGCTTTTAACAGGAGAGGTGTAAGACAACCTTGGCCCCTGCAAAACCACAAGGCCGCCCCACATCACCACGGTCATGCAGGGAACCGCTGGCCAGCATTGTATCGCTTTTAACTTACCCTAAATTAATTTATCGTAAAACTAAAACCAAAACAATTACAATGGCCAATCACAACAATCATACACAAAGCAATGAACCAATGAAATATCAAAGCAAATACAAGAAACCGATTACAAGCGCGGGAAAACGCGTGCGACCGAGTAGCAATTGGTTTTGGTTTTAAATCTCATTGGTTGAATATAGGTAGCGCGAGTTTTTTAAACCAAACATAGAGCATAGTAGAGTAAAACCAAAGCAATTCAGCGATTACTTTCGATACTCAATTGAAAACCGCTTTCATGCCAAACTGTTGACTTGGGTTTCTTTTGTATACTTACCATTTTTAAAAACAATCAGCATCATATCATAATTGTTAATCAGGAAGACCAGCTGCTCCTTGCGCAAAGAAAACTTGGCCGCCATTCGTAGTATGAAGTTCTCGACTTCAACATGTAAGGCGGCGAGAACTTTGTTAACCTTAGAACAGGGAAAACAACACATTCAACTGAAGATTAAGATGTATAACCTCTTAAATGACGAAGCGACGATGTAAGTTGAATTAACATGAACACGAAGAAACAATGGCTAAGGCTTCAAACTTTTCATCCTGGGAAACTTTCATTCCTGACTAACAATGGCCGCAGTAAACTCCGCATATCGACGAGTTATCTAAGAGACAAACAGCAAGATAATGGATAAGGAGATTGGTTACTAAACGCGTATTTGAAGCTACACGCGGCGTAATTGACGCCCCTACGCGCCGCGTAATTGACGCCCCTACGCGCCGCGTAAATTACGCCCCTACGCGCCACGTAATTGACGCCCCTACGCGCCGCGTAATTGACCCCCTACGCGCCGCGTAATTGAAAGGAAGGCAAGTTTGAACTACATAATGTAACTAATGTAAATTGAAGACAATAGAGTCGCTGTACTGGGTGTGTTCTGCAAAATATATATTTTTTAAACGAGTTGACAGTTCTTACATAATGAGGTCGACTAATGTCAATAACTCCGAGTTTCTGAGGATCCCTGTTACTGACACTGTCTACGTTTAACTCCACTACATACGTGAAGCGAGGCCATGACATTTCCAAAACTGTGTCCCAGTATCTAGTGTTAGTAAACACAAAATCATATACATCATCGACTAATGTAATTACATGATTTATATACTTAGTGTGCGACTCAATATTGTGTGTATGCGGGGCCGCTTATACTCTGTTCACATGATCATCAGCTAAACCTGTTTAGTTAAACCAGCTTGAATACAATGAATAATTAATTTAATTCAGCCACAACAGGCTTTTTATATCTCATATGTCTACGAAGCTTAACCCTATCCTGCCTGGGGGGGGGGGGGGGGGGGGGGGCAGAAAGTGCCCGCGCTGGCTTTAAATTTATCGTACTTAAAGAGCATTCAAGAAATCAGAGCCAAACTTTATGAATTTTCCTAAAAATTATCTGGGAACATTTTGGTGTGTCAATTTTTTGATCACGTGACTTGATGTTTCCATGGCAACCAAGTTTTGACAGGCCGTTTTAGCCAAATTTGGTATTTTCAGCCTAAATTTCTGTTTTCATGAGATGTTCGCTTTTTACGAAGAGTTTCTTCCAAAATCTTTGCAATTTTTTCCATCCTTATATTGTTTTCTTTTTTTTTTCAAATCAAATTTGGCAATTTTCTGACATTTCTGAACAATTGAAAAATCCAAGATGGCGAACATTTTTAAAGTATGACGTTATTTTGGCGTGATATGACATCATAATTGATTCGTGTTTGTCACTAAAATAAACATGTTTGAATGCTTTATACACCACATAATGTTCATTTTTATAGCACAAATACTTTTAGATTATATTTCAGTTTTCATAACATTTTTGCTTTTTACGATGAAATCCTTCCAAAATCTTTTTCTTTTTAGCATCTTTATATTTTTCGTGTTTTTTCAAAACAAATTTGGAGATTTTCTGACATTTCTGAACAATTTAGAAATCCAAGATTTAGGATCCAAGATGGCGACGTAATTATGGCGTGTATGACGTCATAATTGACACGTGACTGCCACTAAAATAAAGATTTTCGGATGCTTTACATACCATGTAAGTTTCATTTTCATAGTGTCAATACTTTTCGAGATACATAGGGGGGGGGGGGGGGATCTGCCCCCCCCCCCCCCCCCCAGGCTCACGAACAAAAAAAAGCCCAGGCAGAATAGGTTTAACACATCTCAAGTATCTACAAAATTAATCATAGCAGTATGCGGGAAGCTTGTCGCATTTGAACCTACAATAGTTATATGATCTAATCTCCCACGAGTCTCCTGTAGCTCAGTAGTAGAGCGTCCGACCGGTGTGCAGAAGGTCATTAGGATCGACTCTTGTTGGAAGAACTCGGAAATGTTTTTTTTTCCCGAGTAGCTTGTGTCACTGACTGGTAAACATCTTTCTCACGCTTTTTACTCATGAATGGAATGAAATGAGTATAGTGAGGGACATGGATATGCAAATTAGCATCCGCTCGATGGGCTGTTATCATTAACTTATGCATTAAATGCATAATTAAATTATTCATGAGGTTGAGCCCGCGATATGTAATGGTCACCTGCCTTACCCATGGGGGCGGCATTGGAGGGAGGAGAGGGTGGAGAATTAGTCGCAGGGGGTGGGGGTCGGTGGAGCAAAACGCCTAGGAGAGGGTAGGGTACGAGGGTTCAGACGGTATCCAAGATGGCGGCGGGTCTTCCAAGATGGCAGGCGTAGTATCAGCCTTGCTCACTTTATTTGTAGATCGAGGAGCAGTTTGAGGAAGGATGGATAATTTGAGAAGAGATGAGGGAGGAGAGCTAGCTGTGTCCTATTTCAACCAATTCTGTGCATGCGTGACTTAGGAGAGGAAGAAAAGACGCCGATCGATCGATCGAACCTTCTATTGCAGAGATTCATTTTGGTAGCCGGCTAGCTAAACGTTACAGTACGCAAAATGTTGTATTTGCTTTATACCAATTGCATGGATAAAGTTTATCTAAATCACGGACAAGTTTATTTGGGACTCTTAAACGATGAATCTTTTAAACAATAGGATCCATCTTGAATTTTTAGGGACTGATCAGGACTGGACTATGGAAAAAATAAATTTGGAACACTACTTACAGAACTGCATCACGGTGTGCTAAATGTATTCGTATTTCAAGACCAATAAATGATAACATCACTTTGAAGGGTGGCATGTATTCACAAAATGTAAACAATACATCAGCATGGAGTAATTTAGTCAACAAATTAGCACATATATGTTTGCAGCCACTATGGCCATGGGGAACCAGGCAGTTGTATGTTCATAATTCTTGTTAGCCTGCGAGCAGGCTCTCGTACGCGCGATCGTCATCCTTAGTATTGCGTGACGTTCGAGCGCGGAGCGCGAGGGCGTGGGCTGAAACGAGAGCCTGCACGTAAGGCCCGGTTTCTCGAATGCCGGGTGACAACTCATTACGCTTCATTTGTGAAATAACCAACCAATAGACACTGCGCAAAATCAAAAATATCCTGGCGTATTCTAGTCTGGAATACGTGATCATGACTCCATCGTATCCTAGAGTATTCAGCGCGCGCACAATACGTGACGTACACCTGGAATATTCGTATCGAATATGGTCGAATACGCCACGTTCATGATCTTCCGTAGATTTTCTTGAAAGTATACCACACATCTGTCGTGCTCCTAAAGTATGAGGGTGAATACTTTGGAAGAAGAATTATATGAAGAAAACAACTGTTCGGGTGCGTAGCCTTTCTCCCAAAAGTAAAGTTTGCGCCATGAATTCAAACTACGAACGATCCGCGTGCGTATAAGTGTGACGCCAAACGCCATGGAATTCTAGAGTATTCAGGGCGTACACAACTGACGTTAGGCCTGGAAAATTTGTATATTACGCTTGTTTACGTATCGCGTAAAGGTATTCTATACGCAGCTTTACGCTTGTTTACGTGTTGCGTAAAGGTATTCTATACGCATCTTTACGCTTGTTTACGTATCGCGTAAAGGTATTCTATACGCATCTTTACGCTTGTTTACGTGTCGCGTAAAGGTATTCTATACGCATCTTTACGCTTGTTTACGTTTTCGCGTAATGTGTATCCGTAAAGAAGAGTAAAGATGCGTATAGTTTATCTGTACATATTCTTATCGAGAGAATCCGTTTAGACTACGCAGAAATTCCCTTTTTTAAGTAGACTCTAAGTGAGCGGGTTCGCATCGCGCAGAGTTCGCATCGCGCGCGGGCAAATCACTCCTCAGAGACTGGGCTCTGCTAGTCGCCGCTATTGACGGTCAGCGGTTGAGCGCATGAACCCGCCTGGCGTCCATTTTGAAAGGTGACAAATTTCCTGCACGCAACGACCAACTTTGTGTCTTTTCTTGGCGATTCTTCCTGTTCTTGATGAGCTAGTTAATCGAAAACTCATCTTGATCTGATCTGGGCAGGAGGATGAAATGTGTAATCGACATTCCTGCATCTAAAACCTTCACTTCGATTCATTTCACGCGTGATGAAGTGACAATTATTGCTCTAAACCGGTGAGTTCTAAAGATTTATTTTGACCTGGCTTGTTCTATGTTCTAGATCAATCAGAGAATACTCCTTTTTGAAGAGAAAACGAAAGTAACTCTTGCTTATATACGTGGTATTAGATTTTAAAAGCTTAAGAGTGTAAGTAAATATGCAAGCTTAAGCTATTATGTATTCTTAAGATCTCTTAAGGGTTTGTATGGGAATGCAACACTTTAATTTAAGATAGTATAAATTTAAAAGTTTTGTGAGAAATTGACCTATCCTGATGATGCTTTTTTGTTGTTTGCCCGCATCTCGGGCCGGTTTGAAGTGATTTTGGCGAGCTATCATTGTTGGATGTTTCCACCACTAAGATTTTGAGGGAGTCTTGACAAAGAGTGAACCACGTGAGTTATTCTGGTTAGCCTAAATAGCACTCTAGTTAGCCTAGATACATGTAGCATTCAGGTTAGCTTACAGTGTAGGTAGCTTGTGGGTTAGCCTTTGTATTGGGGTTAAGGATTTCTGGCTCACATGGCTCACTTACATGTACTGACTCATTTTGAGGCCAGACAATGATCTCCAGAATCCCACCGCTTAAAGTCAAAAAACAATTATCTTGCAGCCACAATTCCTCCATAGAATAAAAGAGGAATTGTTAAATTTTCATGTAACTGTAAGCTCATTCACTAAAATGCAATTCCAGCAACGTGTCTGCTAAAAAACATTCATTCTAAGTCAGCTTTCGCTTCAGAAATTATAAATGCCCTTGTCCAAACTGCCATGGACATATGTGTATGCGCCTGGGGGTAACCAGCAGCCAGTTACCAACAAGTAAGCGTCTCTGTGAAGCCGATTTGGAATGAATAGCAAACACGTTATGGCTGGAATTACCAAGCAAGTGAGCTTGCATGGAAATTTAATGAAGGACCTGCATGTATGGCTGCAGCATTATTTCAGTGGATTTTTCGCTTTGAGTGGCAGACACTCTGGAAATCACTGTTTGGCCTCTTACATGTACATGTACTGTACATGTAGTAGTGGAAATCTCAAACAATGATAGCTTGCTGAAATCACTTCAAATCGACCTGAGGAGCATACAAACAACAAAGAATACAACACAGCAACATAAGTCAACTTCATTCACAAAACATTTCAATTTATACCAGCTAAAATAAACCGTCTCATGCCCATACAAAACCTTATACATGTAAATCAACTCTTTGCAACACAATACTACTTATAAGCAAGAGTCACAATTGTGTTCTCTAATTGTTAGCTTCGGCCACCTGTGGGTAATAGCGAGAACACAATAGAACACAGTCACAAAAAGCTTGCAGCAGTTAAATGCAAACAACGTTCAAATTATGTAAGTTTGATTGGGATCAGCTATTTACCGAGTTACGAGTTAAGTTAAGTTTGAGTTACTGTTTTCATTATTATTATTTTTTTAAAGTGTTAAATATTACAGCAAGGAGCCCAAAAGTGTGACCACTTTTACAGTCAAAATACTCAGCGCGTTCCGCCCAAGGGTGAATTAATGAATTCATTACTGCAAATTTGATTTCATTACTCGTTTCAATAACGCACTCTTCAAATGAAAAATCAAAAATTCAAAACAAGACTCGATCCAATACTCGAATGTTGATTTGATTAATGGTAAAATATATCTTTCCATCCCCATGAGAGAATTGATAGGAAATCTGGAAAACAAAGCAGAAATTTGAGCGATTAGATAAAAAAAAGACAGAGATTCGCTCGTGCAGTCTACGACTGCTAGCAAATTTGCATATTTGACAGCGACATAGAGGAGCGTGCACAAAAGAATGTCTGCTGTCGCAATTCAAGTCAAAGGAGCTTTTTAATTAATCACTTTACGGCAAATTTCCCCTGCAAATTTCTGAAATGTCCACTTTGTTTTTGCAACTTTTCGACAATAACAATGAAATAACTACAGGAAGAAAATAGACGACTAATTCTTTACAAAGGAAAGAGCCAAATGCAAGCGTGACAAACGTTCGTGACTTTCCTGCAGTTTGTCATACCGGTATTCAACCAACGGTTGCTCAAATTTTCGTTTTGTTTTCCAGATTTACTGTCTGTCTCACGGGGATGGAAAGAGATATTTTGCCAAAATCAAATCAACATTCGAGTATTGAATCGAGTCTTGTTTTGAATTTTCGATTCTTCATTTGAAGAGTGGATTATTGAAACGATTAATGAAATCAAATGTGCAATAATGAATTCATTAATTCACCCTTGGGCGGAACGCGCTGAGTGTTTGACTGTAATTAATTCACATTCTTTTGTGTAGATTGTCTAATCAGAAGCCGAGGATTAAGCTGGCTTCCACAAAACAACTTTTAATTAAATACAATCCCGAGTGTTTCCACAGCAATTTCACAATCTTTTGCGATCTTGCAGTCTGAAGATGATTTCTTGTTGCTTTTCCATGGATGCCTGTTTTTGAGGAGCTTACATATCAACCTTTGAATTTTTGGCACTGAAACTACTGTACATACATGTATATGCTACACTAATTTCACAACTCCAACATCTACTCAACAGCTAAAATTATAATAATTTTATGTTGATCGCCTGGGTACAATATATTAAACCTTATTGTGTATATTTTTTTACTGTCAGGCTTTTGGTTTGCGAAGACATCACACCGACTTTTTAGCATTGAATCAAAATTCACCCTCCTCAAATAAATAAAAAACACTTCCCGTCTGCCGGGTATATCTAGCCAGACTTTTCCTGCTTGCTTGCATCAAACTGCAAACAGAAGTCTTGTTGAATTTTGACCACCATAATTTTCACGAGAATAAAGAGGGGGCAAT